AAGTCCTGACTCAGAGCGGACAGCTTTAAATCATGCCAGGATCCACGGGGGATTCCTTCCAAAGCCTGCTGCAAAAGCTTGTTGGATTTTGCCTGGATCAGCCAGGTGCTTGACTGTATCCAGGTGCTGGGGAAATGAAAGCTGGGGAAGAGTGTGAGACCAGACAGATTAAACCTGCTTGGGTTTGAATCCCTCCCCTGCTTTCCCTGTATACAAACACATCCTCCTGATCTCAAAATACTTCTTGGGATGGATTAGGGGTTGATCTCTCTCCCTGGGTGATGCAGAAGTTTCCCCTTCTGTCTCCCAACACCTTGCTGACCTGCCTGCATCTCGCAGCCAGGTTTTATGTGCCAGGCTTGGGAATGCTGGATTTGTTGTCCCTAGGCAGTCGTGTAGCTGCACGGGCTGAGCCTGCCTTCCCTTCCACCAGCCGTAGCGTCACCTTTCTGTGCCAGAGGTATGGCGGGGCAGGACTGAGACCACCTTGTGTTGAGAGAAGCGCTCGCAGGACCTGTCTGGGAATCGCGTCAGACCAACTCCTGCTGCTGGACGGCCTGCGTGGAGCTGATGCAAGCCTGTAATGCATCAGCTGTAGGAGCTGAGGCTGTTGCAGTTTAGCAGAGTCTTCCTTTTCTGCTGAAGCAGTTGGTTTGGAAAGCACATTAGAAAAAAAAGACTTTGCTGTAGGCTAATGGAGAATGCATAGCAGATCCAGGAGTGAAAGACAAGACGAACCTATTTGCTAATGGAGTTTAAATAGCCTAGTATAAAGCAGATATGCCATGCTTGGACCGGTTACTCCAAAGCTTTCTGTGTTTACTCTATCCCACAGCCTGTTGACATGAGAGATCTGCTTGAGTTTATGAGCTTTGAGGGGATCAGAGCAATTCCCAGGAGCCGTGCTCTTGATGCCAATTCACTGAGCCCGTGACAAATTGGGATGACAAATGCAGGCTGTGGGTGTGTGGATCATTATGTGCAGGAGTTGCCCTTCAGGTGCAGCAAGTGCCTCCGAACTGGTGCCGTGGGATGAGTAGGCAAGGCTAAGGGCGGGATGGGGAGTGCCAGGGAAGGGACAGGGCTGAGCTGCTGCATGGTGGCCTCTTGGTTGGCTGTGACCCTGCACGGGGATCTGCAGGACAGATAGGAAAAGGGACCGGACTCAGTGCCGCCGGATGGGGTGCAGCTCCTGTTGGCTTCCCTGGACACCCTGGTAAGCCCCGCCCGTCAGCAGAGAGGACCCGGGCGAGGGCTTGGAGCCAGGTCTGTCCCTCTCAGATTGTCACTCTTGGGCTAGTAAGCAGTTTGCCACAGTCCGGTGCGTGCATTTGCAGCCTGGAGAGCGCTCAGCTGGAGGGAGCAGCTCTC